ACCTAAAATATATAAAAAAAGTTAAAAAACCAAAGAGGGTTCCTTAAAAAAAAAAAAAAAAAAAAAAACCCCAGTATCTATCTTTTTGGCATCTTCTTTATCATTTTTTACTAGTTACAACTTGGAACCAGCAGTCTCATTTCAGACTACCAATTCAAATAGCCTAGTATGATATACTTCTGTATTTTTTTTCTTTGGTAAATCTGGTAGTCTGATTGGTTATATGCTCCTTTACACATATTTGATATCTGGTTTTAACTTTTGGTTTTTGTGAAGATGTTTTATAAGTTTCAACTAGTTCAATAATATCATTGAAAGTTTATATTACTTCTTTACTTAGAAATTTCTAAGTGGGTTTTTGTCACCTTAGTTTCTTAGTCTTTTACATTTAGTGGTCTTATTATAGATTTGTACTGAAGTCTTATACAATACTGGTAATATATTTCTCTATGTATATGTAATATTATACTTCATATAGATGCTCTGAGTTCCTAATGTCAGTAGAATTCAACTTGGTATACTTGGGTTACAGCTGCATGAGGCCAACTGATCGACAGGAGACAGTTACTGTAATGCAGATATAATTTTCAAATTTTGTCATAAGTGAGATTTGAACCTTAGACCTGCCACTTGGAGAATAACAATCCAACCACTATACTAGAATTACTATTCTCTTATTTTGTAATTATTTTTATAAATCTTATAAATAATATATTTATATATAATTTAAATTCAAAAACAAAAGTAATTTAAAGTTACATCTGATTATTATTTTATAATAGAATATTATTCACTTGTTAATATTTTTATAAAAAAGTAAAAAAAAACAAAAAAAACTTATAAAAAAAAAAACACAAAGAATAAAGTAAATAATAAAAGTCTGAATTCTATAAATTAGTAGTTAAACTTTTAAATTTATTACAAACAAAATCATCAGTTCAAATTTAGCTAAAAGTAAAATAATGTTTGTAATCTAATTAGAAATTTATAGCTAAATGCAAAGCTTTATAATACAAATTTAAGTAAATATCTATTTAAAATAGAAATTTCTAAAAAAAGATTAATCTGTAAAATGCAGATACTATACTTAGTAAGAGAAGTAGTAAACACAAAAAAACCTGGAAAAAAGTATTAGTCTTACTAATTAAAGAACACTTTTGACAAAAAAAACCTATAACAGATATAGTTATAAGATTTACTTTTGTTTTAGTAGAGTTTATTTCATAGGTAAAATAACCTAATGCATATTAAATTAAGTTTAACATTACAAAAAAATATTAAAAAGTTAAAAATTTTAAATAGAAAATCTACAGATAGATTTTAAATATATTAATTAGCAGATAATCTGCAAATAAAGCCTTTAAATAAACAATAACTAAAATTGTACATATGTCTAATTGTAATCTTATTAATATACAAAATATAATATTTCTTTATATAAATAAAAAGTAAATATTATATATAATAAAAATTCACAAAGCCATAAAGGTTTTTTTTAAATCTCAAAAATAAATAAATAAAAGTAAATAATAAAAATACGAAGCAAAAAATAAAAAAAATAAAACTTATACTTTATATTTATTAGATAGTTATAATTATATATTTGTGTTAGGCTTATAAAAATTATAAACTATACTAAATAAAAATAACTTTATTACTTTTTTATTTACTTTAAATACATTAATAATGATTAAATTAGAAATAAATAAAACAGGATTTAGTTTTAATAATGCATTGAATATTTGGTATAAATTTAGAAAAAGAAAGATAGAACATAATTTTTAATATATTATAATTTTGTTTTAATAATTCATTATTAATAAAAAAAATATCAGATTCAAATAAATCGATATTTGAATTTATATTATAATAACAATAAAAATGATAATGATAACAATAACGCTTTAATAAGATAATTTATCGTGCGACCTATGATTAATTCACATGACGATTTTTATTATGCATGTAATATATTGCACATCTTTATTGTCTACTATTTTAGCCAATTAATATCTAATATATCATATATCAAGAATGCACTTTTAAATGGCCGGCAAATCAATATAGTCGTTTAAGCCTGCACGCTGGCATTTTGCAAAATCATGATCTCCAAAAAGTAAGCGAAAAAATAAAGGATAGAGGCTGTGTGCTAAGAACAATAACATTTTTCGAAAATTATCGAACAAAACGATTTAGTCTTGTCCAATTGCAGACAAATTTGCCTGCAAAACAGAGTAAGGGATAATTCGCAGATGACGCGTAACATAACAATGTTGCACGACATATCAATCACACTAATTTTTCTATTGCTTTATTGGCTGGGATTATTCGAGGAATTTTTTTGGTTAATTTTTACGTTACACTTGCTCTTGCTTCCTGATTGGCCAGTACTATATCACGTTATTAGAGATCGTCGATTTTGTCCAATCAAAACTCGATTTACCGATATCCAATAGAAAATTGAGAGTCAAATTAGTAAACGCGTCACACGATATGTCACATGAAAAATTTTTTAAATCTTTGTAAACAATCTTTCTAAAAAAAACAAATGTCGCACTATACCGACACAGATTCGTCAAATCCCGTCGTGTCTAATTCGAATGAGGCAGTTAAAATTAGGTTTGGTACGTATAAAGAAAATCTATTGAGCTTGGTTGAAGCTAACTCATTTCCAGTGAAGTTTTAATAAACTTATTTTAACTTATGTTTTACTAGTTCAACCATTATCCGTATCAGATTGCGAACACGACGAAACAAAGGTGCAAGAATTTTCACCTGACTTTACGTATCCAATATTTGGTGAAAAGGAACAAATTTTTGGCTACAAAAATCTGTCAATTAAGGTTGCGATTCATATTTCCTCTTCTTTCCTATTACAAATACTTGGTGACCAGCTTTAAATATTTAGAAAACTAATTACATAGCTTTATTTTGATTAAATTGACCGTTCAGTTATATTACGCGTCTGGTAGTCTGACAACATACTTTGATGTAACATATGACGGAAAGGTTCCATTGGCTGATAATATAGTAGAAAGGATTAAAGAATTCATACCTAATGGTGAATACAACCATGATTTTATTATTAAAGATCATTGTATCAAGATTATATATTTTTCTTATTCATTACTAATTATTTCTTTTAATATAATAAAGATTTTATTACAAATTACGATACTTTTTTGCAAACTATAAAATCAGATTCTGAAAATTTTAAACCTATTGGAGAGAAATTTTCAGAATATCGTCTTAATGATGATGATGATAGAGTATATGAAATTTATAAGGTAAGCATATAGTACTTGATTATATAGACTTTGCAATTCATATATCATCATTTACCGTTTATCACAGGCAACATTTACGACCCCTCGCTTTAAAGAGTTTCACAGACGATTACAAATATTTGTATTGTTTTATATAGAAGCTGGATCATATATTGATGAGGAGGATGACAAATGGGAAATTGCACTAATGTATGTATATTGTATAAATAGAATCGACATTTAGTCTAACATACTTTATCTTAAATTTTAATGGGTATAGCTTTGAGAAAAAAGCTATGGGTGATAGCAAAGTATATAGTATTGTAGGTTATTGTACGATGTACTTGTATTACTTTTTAACTAGCACGGGAAATTCTAATGAGAATCATATGAATGCCAATAATAAACTACCATTGCATATGAGTATTAATCAAGGTGGACAAATTCGAGATAATATACGAGTGAGAATCAGGTACTCACGTTACATAATCTGTATTCCACTTTCTGTTTCTAATGATAATTATAATTCTGATATAAATGGTTTACTGATACAGTCAGTTTTTAATACTCCCACATTATCAACGAGAAGGTCATGGAAGTAAGTTTTAATTAACTGGCGCAAAGTTGAACATTATTTTATTAATTATTGAACTTTCGTTGAAGGTAAATTCTATCGGGCTCTCTATCAAAGTTTCTTGGCTGATCCCAGAATAAAAGATATTACTGGTTAGTCAATAAAATTTACTCGTTAAATAGTTTGATAAATTGTAATCAATAAATAATCTTATTTATATAATATTATAATAGTTGAAGATCCAAGTGACAAATTTCAAGAAATTCGGGATAAAAATGATATACGATTCTTGAGAGAAAATAAGGCTCTTGAAGGTCTCAAGGCACCTGTAGATAAAAATGTATTTAATGCATTGCAGAAAAAATACAAATTAAATAAGGTAAATAATATTACATAATGTTTTTAAAAAGATGTTTGGTACTAATTATTTTCATTAATTTGATACTATAATCAGAGACAAATGGCACGATGTATTGAAATTGAATTGTTACGGAACCTACACAAGGCAGACCCTGTTGCCTATAAAGCGTATCGGTTGCAAGTCAAACAACGGTTGTATCTCTGGAACGAGGTTTGCTAATTGGTTTTATATTTACTTTATAAATGATATCAAACCTAATCCATTAATCATTTTAATTCTATAATGTAGGATATATTGAGACAACTAGACAGAGCAGAACGTATACAAAAATTGGAAGAAACTTTCAAAGGTCTTGAGGAAGATTATCACTCAATTATATTACAATTATGACTATGGTAATATTAAACTATTTAGTTGTGCAAATGTATATAAATAAAAAGGAAATTACCTTATAATTAGGAATCTATTAAAGAAGCCTTTTGCCTAAATAACATCTCAACATCAACCCATACTTTAGCAGTATCACGGTTAGATAGCTCAAGTAAACTAGGAAGTAAATCGTTTGTAAATTGTTCGCTACTTTCTCTAGGCAATAAAGTTGGTAGATGATCAATTGAAATAACATCTAGAGGATGTGTATTTCTTGTAAAGCATAATTTATAAATAATTTAGAATGCTTTCTATAATAATATTAAGTAATATGAAGGTAAACGAAACATACTTTGTTTCCACTGCAATGGTCGGATTACCGAAAGTGGTATTACCGGTATAAACTGGGATCGGATTGTTAGGATTGGTATTATCACAACTTACATCAGCAATCACAGAAAGCCTTCTTGGCAAATCCAACATTTCTTTAGTGAGAAATGGTGATATTTTTTGACTAAGATAAATACAATTTACAAAAATGTCTGTTTCAAGAATTTCCGGGAATGGTCCTCCTTTCTTTGTTTCTTCAAGATCCCATTTAATAATATTTTCTCTGAAAAGACATAAATGCGATGAATTTACTTCAGAAAGTAAAAAAATATGCATCTGAAACTTACTCAGGAATATCAACTTTGCGTGCAAATTCTATTGCTCCCTTACCACATCTACCAAGAGCACCCACAACCATGATACGTGGTGTGTATCCTTTAACGCTGACTTTTTAAGACAATATGTATGAGTTTATAGTCCAGGAACGGAAGTAATAGATATAAAAACTCACTTGCTTTACTCAATCGATCTTTTACATAAGTGATTAAATCATTCTCATTAGGGAAATGCTCAACCGATGGATACTTTTGTCCAGGGTGAATTTGTTGTTGAGCCCAAACATCAAGGCCTAAAGCTGAACCAGCAAATCCTGCATGATAACCAAATGCAGCTACACGTCGACCTAATTAAAGATCAAATATTATTCACTAAATATCCAAGGTAGTTACAATACATATTAAAACTCACCTCTCTCATCCGTTAAAAATTCTAGATCAAGAAGAATGCCATTGCCTTGCACAAACCTTTTAAGGATATTTTTCCAACCACTCTGATTCTTGTAACAATGTGCAAAAAAGATATGAGAATGTGAGAGTGGCGAATTATCATTCTCTGGAAGTTCCTTAAGACCAATAATGTAAGCATCAGAAGGCGCAGTTTTCCAAGTTCCAAAAGGGACTAAAGTACATCCTTCTCTGCATTTTTATCATGTATTAATATTAAATCGATTAATCCGAATTTAATAAAAACAAGACTTTTCACATTCAAATTATAACTTTACTGCTCATATTCTTCATCGTTAAAAATTCGTTCGGTAGATCTTTCAACAGTGATTTGAAAGCCTAAAAAGTTAAATAATAAAGGTTAATACCACCGTGAGTAAATTATTTATTATGAGAAAATTTAATCTTGGTACCATTTTGAATTAAAACTCTACAAGAAGAAGGAGTTAGAGCTGCTCGGTGTTCTTTCGGCTTGGTTTCTGCACGAAGCCATAAATGTACCATTTTTTTTAATAAAATCTGACGAAATGTAAAAATTTTTGATCTACTCAGCACTTGCCAATCAAATTAAATGCTGGGTTAAATGTCATGGATGATTTGTGTAATGTTACACGGTATGAAAGACAACGTTTTGCAGTCACAAAACCACAATACGAATTGGCAAAGGTTGCGACATAGGAAATCTTAGAGTATGCCCTTTATTTTATAACAGTCAAAGTAAAACGAGTACTTACCCAAGAAGAATTCTTTTGCAATAGGCATTTTATTATCTTCTCTTAATGATCAACGCCACCTCTAATTGGATAAAATCTCCGGTAACAGCAAAAAGTATCTACAATAATTAGCCATGCTATTTAACCCAAAAAATTTCCCGACACGTGATTATAGCCAATTAGATTGAAGGAGCAGGTGTAACGTAAAAATCACTTCTTTTTAAAAAATCGCTATCGCTATTAACGTTAACTCAAAATTTTACCTTCTGCGTTTAATAAAAAAAATTCCTCGTGAAATTTTAGTATAAGCTATATTCTTCCTCATTCTTAATCCTAACCCTAAAGATGATGATTTTAAAATATTTTCGCTTAATTCTGATTTTACGTTACATCTGATCCTTCGATCTAATTGGCTAAAAATCACGTTCCGGAAAATTTTTTGTGGGTGAGCTAGGCAGAAGTTCGGCTGATTGGCTAATAAATTCAATTTAATTTTACATTATTTATACAGTTTAGAGTACTTTTTTAAAAAAAATGAAAACCAACCATAATAAATTAAAAAAAAAACCATATAGAAGGTTTCATTAGAACTATAGGCTAGGTTGGCCAATGGACCAAAATGTGGCTTATAAGATGCCAATGGACTGTCCATTGACATTTCTCTCAGAACTCATCATAGTCCATTGCCAACCCTGACTGTAGGACTTCATAGTTAAAAATTAGATCTAATTCTTCGTTTAAAAAAATTAGTAATAAGTTAATTTTGTTAGGTTTTGAGAAGTTATTACTATACTAACTTTTTTAAACGGACGAGAATTAGATCTTATTTTTGGCTATGGAGTTCTACAGTTCTAATGAAACCTTATATATAGCTTTTTTTATTTCATTATGATTAGCTTTCGCTTGTTTTTTAAAAGTACTCTAAACTGTATAAATAATGTAAAATTAAATTGAATTTATTAGCCAATCAGACAAACTTCTGCCTATGAGTTACCAACAATTAAAAAAGCCATGTCCGGTCATATGATGTCAATTACTAAATTAGGTCTTCCCCAACATAGCCGTTTTTGGTTCTTATACTGCATAACGTCATAGCCAGAAGTTTTTCTGATTGGCTAATAAATTCAATTTAATTTTACATTATTTATACAGTTTAGAGTACTTTTTTAAAAAAACGAAAATTAATCATAATGAAATAAAAAAAGCTGTATAGGACTTCATAGTCAAAAATAAGATCTAATTCTCGTCCGTTTAAAAAAGTTAGTGTAGTAATAACTTATCAAAACCCGATAAAATCAACTTATTGCTAAGCTAATTCATTTAAACAAACGAGAATTGATCTTATTTTTGACTATGGAGTCCTACAGCTTTAATGAAACCTTCTATATAGTTTTTTTTACTTTATTATGGTTGGTTTTCGTTTTTTTAAAAAGTACTCTAAACAGTATAAATAATGAAATTGAATTTAAATGTATATCACATGATCTATTGGGGTCAATCTAGGACACGTAGACGGTCCGGTTTGATTGGCTATTAGAACAGAGATGCTTTAACAGTTAAATTTGATTGGTTAATGTTCACATGTTGATCTACGAAATTGGGATAGTTACGGAAAGACATATGCCAAGTTCCCCAATGAAAGGGTGAAATAACCAAAATTAGTTTGTCGAACAATATACAACACAACTCTGCAAAGGTTCATGATACATTGATTTCTTTGTTGAGACGTCAAAATTACCGTTAGTGCATCAGCATTTTAAATGAATTAAGTCATGCATCATTAGCGTTAGCGTTAGTTTGATTTATAATACAATTGAACAGGATAAGAGCCTGATCTGCCCTGCCCTATCCGTGTGACCCCGTGTCAGGGTGAATCAAATTTTATCATTCTTAACTCACTCACTTCACTCTTTCTCACTTCTTTCACACTTTTAATATGGCGACTTACAAACAGAAACCTCTTCGACTTCAGACTCACTATGCCTCTAGTGATTCAGAAGAAGCTTCAGGTTCTGATCAAGAGTGGGTCGTGTTTCCTGGAGACCGTTCTTCCAGTAAGTCTCTTGACCGCAAAATCGGTAATCCCTCCAGTGACGATGACTGGCATGTTCTCAGTGACAACCTAAGTCCAACTGAAGAAGGTCTAACTGCATCCGAAAGTAACTCTGAACTTATCAGTGATAATGATTCTGAGCAATATCAAGCTCAGGAATACGACACTCACTTTGCAGAAGACATTGTAAGCCAAGATTACATCGGCCAAATGCCCTCTCACGATGGTGTTGGAAATTTTAAGGACGAAGTGTTTTCAGATATCGATTTTACGCCTATTGAAACGAATAGCTTTTCTACCGAGTCCGAAGAAAATCATAACTCTGAGGCAGCGAATCCCAATATCACAGGAGCTGATGCCTTTGATCAAAACCAAAACATTCATCATTCAAGTCTTTCTGAAACTAAAGGAAGAACTCTTGGCAGTGCACGAGATTCTTTAATATCCACGTTACGTCACGTATTCCGAATTGAAGAGGAAGTCGTCTCATTAATTGAGAGAGAACAGCCACCACAGGTCTATCAACGACTTGCAGAATCTGCCTCTGCTAACGCAAAGTTTGAGTTGGGTGACTTGGGCGTGGTATGATTCAAATTAGTCATCTTATTTGTTCGTGTATTTATTATGCTTAATGCATTATATATAAGATATTTCTTTTTTATAGATGAATCCTATTAAATCACTAGCAAATGTGAACAATGAAAACGCGACTGATCATTCCGAGAATCAAGGACAATCTTTACAATCGTCCATTATTGATAATATCCCCATTTCTTATACGCGTTTATCCTCTGGCAATGCTTCCATTATCACTAGACTAGGGAGTAGGCCCAATGTTCTAAAAGATCCAATGGCTGTCAAATTCCCACCAACTATACCCAGGGGTGCGATAAACGATATATTGACAAACAGGTGTAATTGCTTTTTAAATCTATGCGAAAATTTAAATTTTAGTTAATTAACGCGTCCTTATATTTTTTATATTTAGTCATGATAATCAAGCAACTTCTAATTCCCAGCATACTTCTCAAGATGACACAAACTCACTTCTTTCCACCGTATGGACTACTTTTCGTCGTATTACAAATAACATAATCATAAGCAATGATTCGGAATCCTCTCATAATGATAATACACCTTATTCCTCTGCCCTGTCCTATGGATCTTCTAGCCATACACATAAGGGTGGTTTGGCTTCGATTATCACAGGATCTGGAGAAAACTATTACACTTATGATGCTTGCTACCCACCTTTTGGCAACCATCTTACCCTTTCTGATCTTTGTCCTTCGTATAATATATCATCTACCACTACCACTGCACCACATGTAGTAGTGGTTGTCGATTAAAATTTTATAAGCTTAGCTAAGCAGATAATTTTGGTACGGCTAAGCCGGCTTAGTCGGTTATTATCTTAAATCTGCCAATAATAAACTATAATCCGGAAACTCTCTCTGGCCACGCTCTTAATATATTATATAATGAGCTCCTGAAAGATTTTCTTGCACGCATTGGTTAGTAATTTTAGGCAGGTACAACTTCAAGTGCTTGAAGCTGCAAATTTAGACAGATGTTAATTTTAGGCATGACAATACGATTTCTGATAGATGTAGCCACTAATGACCATGGTTAGAGTTTGGAACCGGTTTTATTTTCACATATTAAAAAAACCAGTTTTAACATTATGAAAAATAGTATCTGTTTCAAATTCTACCCATAGCGATAGCCACTCAATCAGTCAACAAAATAATTGAATACTGAACTTTTTTAATGTTAAAGTAATAAAACCACATGTTAGGGTTAGAGTTATAATCGCAGTCTATGTTAAAAATAGACTATTGACCATTCGGAGAGATCTGATTGGTGATTTTATCACGGTTTTATCACTTGTATGTTCTGTTATATTTATATCTATTTAGTTTTTTTATGATTACTGTAATATATATTATAAAATTGGGTCATTACTGTATTTATAATATTTATTTTTGATAATTTCGTAGCTTTATAGAAATTATTGTTTATGTAGTTATAATATATTTTTTTTATTTGGTTGTTTTTACGAATATTTAATAATAGTTATGGATCATAATGAAATTAGATTAAAATGAAATTAGGGTTTTTATTTAACTTCTAAAATTCAATTAACTTGTTTACTATATTCTTTTTTTTACCTTTAAAGTAACCTCTAATTCTAATGAAATGTGTTCCAAAATTTGTATTTATTAGCTGTTTGTTTACTTTACATTATTAGTCTGTCAACTAAGTAAATCAAAATTATATGTGGCCACTAATATCTGAGCTTGAAATCTTTTATTAGTGCGATAAAAAATATATAAACTTGAGTACTTTTTTTAGATGCACAGGTTGAATTGTCTTTTTTAGCAGAAACTTTCGACTTTTTCTTATTTCAGTAACAAAATTACAGTTAGTAATCCAAGTCGTTAGTTAAAAAATTAACTAGTTGATAACTTTCCAACTAATAGATTTAGAAATATTTAAATTAATTGACTAAATTATTAGTTATAGTGTTTATTATAAGTATTTACTTTTGTATAATTTCTAATAAAAATTTTTTTTATTTTAAAAATTTTTAAATAAAAATTTATAATACAAATTTAAATTTTTTTTATTTATTTATTAAGGTGACCTTTTTGGTTTTTTGATTTTTATTAATGTTTTTTAGTAATATGTTTTATAAAAAACTACTACAAGAAGAATGTACAATTAATTACATATATAATTTTTTTTTGTTTTTTTGATGTTAAGATAACCTCTTTGGTTTTTTGACTTTTATTAATGACTTATTGGTAATATGATTCAATGAACCACTATAGGAGAGAGTACAATTAATTATATATATAACTTTTTTATATTATCTATTTAAGAAGTTTGTCTAAAGGTTTCTTACCAATTGTCATAATTGTCATATCTAATACTCCTGCTTGAGTATTCTACTTTAAATCTTTTGAATCTGTAATCTGTGTTAACTTACTGAATTATACTCAGATGTTCTGATTATTATTTTAATCTTAAGATTATTTTATCCTTAAGATAAACTTTTCAGAGTCTTCTGTACTTATTTTTAGATATTACTATATTAGAACTAACATTTACAGTTAGAGCTTAATCATTAAACCACTATGCTCTTGTGGAGTTTACTCAGATTTTAGTATCTACTTTACAGTATAACTTCAGTACTTTAGTATATCTTTAAATTTTATCAGAGTTTTAATTCAGATAGTTTATATAGAATTACAATCAGTCTATTAGTATATTAGATTAGTTTAATATTATTTTTCTTTAGTTTATTCTAGTAACCTAGTTGATAGTACCTTTGAAACTTCCAATCTGAAGATTCTTGCCTGTTCAGTTACTAAGATCTTGGTATCCATTTCTTCGAACTAGTCTTTACAGTAGCACTGTCAAAAATCTAGTTACTTCTCTACTTGAATCTTCTTAAATAGACTTCTTGTTATCTAATTTCAACAGATTTATATAGTCACAAGAACTTATCTAGTGTTTGTATTACTCAGTTGTCAGTTTGCATTTTTTTGTATAACTTCAATATTGCACAGATGTTCATGACCTGTCAGTCATACTAGTGTGATTACCATTATAGGTAGCTTAATCTGATTGTTAGTAACAGTTGTTATAATACAAATATTATATAGGTAATTATCCAAATTTTTATTATCAATAGGATTTAAATATTTAATCTACTATTTGAAAAGTTAACAACCTGATTATTTTACTAGATTATTATACCTCTTATATGTAACTTTTTATATTATCTATTTAAGAAGTTTGTTTATTAATTATTGTATCTAATACTTTTACTTGAGTATTCTATTTTAAATATTTTAAATTTATAATTTGTATTAATATTATTAGATTATATCCAAGACATTGTTTTAACTTTAGAACTATTTTATCTTTAAGATAAACCTTTTTAAGTTTTTTGTACTTATTTTTATAGCTGATCTAGTATTATTATAACAGAACTAACATTTGTAATCAGGACTAATCATTAAATTACTATATTTTTACAAAATTTATTTAAATCTTAGTATTACTTTATAGCATATCTGAAATACTTTAATATATTTTACATTGTTATCAAACATTTAATCTAAATAGTTTAATAAAATTATAATTAGTTTATCAATATATCAGATTAGCTTAATATATTTTTTTTAATTCATTCTAGCAGTTTAGTTAATAGTAGAGGTTTTTGTTTATTTAGTTTTTTTACATTAATATTTATTTTATAAGTCTAATTTTTATAATAATATTATTGAAATTCCATATTACCTTTTTGCTTGAATTTTTTTAAATAAATTTTTTATTTTTTAATTTTTATGAATTTATATAGTTACAAAAATTTATCTAGAGTTATTTTTATTGATGCTAATTTGTATTTTTCTGTATAATCAGATACACAGATATTTTATAACCTATTAGTTATACTGATGCAACTATAATTATAGGTATCTTAACTTAATTATTAGAAACAATTGCTATAATACAAATATTATATAAGTGATTATTTAAATTTTTACTTTCAATAAATTTTGAATACTTAACCTATTACTTAGATGATTGACAACTTACTTATTTCACTAAGTCATTATATTTTATAAATTTTAAATATTGTTTTTTTTTAAATAATTATTTTTTATATAATTATTATATAATAAAATATTTTTTATAATTAAATTAAAACTTGTAGATTTACTAATAAACTAATAAAAAAATACTTTTTTATAAATATATTATAAAATAATCTTTATATAATCATACAGTTTGTATGATATAAATTATATAATTATAAAGATAACAATTCTAATATATATAGTAATTAGATTGTTATTTTTTAAGCAACAAGTTTAGTATTTAAATTCTATTTATACCAAAATTTAAAATTATAACTATGTTATAGTAATTATTTTTTAATAATTAGTTAAATTAAAAAAATAATTTGTAATCTTAGAAACATTATTTTGAATAAGATTTAGAGCATTTATATAAAATATAAAATTATATATATATAGAAAATATTAAAACTAATATTATATAAGATTTTGGTATAAATATATAATAAATTATTAAATATATAATACTAAAAAACTAAAAAAAACAAAAGCACATTTGAAAATTTTAAATAAAAAGATAATATAAACTTTTGATAATATTACTGAACTAATAAAAATCTTTGAAAAAGTTAGATAAACTAAATAACAAATATATATAGAAAAACATATAACCAATTAGGCTATTAGGATCTACTAAAAGAAAAAAATCTTAAAAGATCTTAATTATATATTAAGAACTTAGAAACAAGTTTGCTACACTATTTAGATTAGTAGTTTGAAAAGTTAGGTTTAAAATAAAAGAAAATATTAGAAAAAATAAGTACTAAAGTTTAAATAAACTTTATAAGAGTAAGAATAATATAATAGTAGTAGTTTAATAAAATATCTATAATTGTAAATATTAGTCTAATTATAATATATTATATAAAATTAGATTAGTTGTATATAGAATATGAAAAGCTTTGATGAGTTTTTTTTAAGAATAAAACAGTCTTAAGAATACTAATAAAAATTATGAATTTTGAATAAAATATGCTTTAAAAATATTTTGTAATACAAGTTAAATTGCATATATAAAAAATTTAAATAGACAAAACTTATATTTAGTTTGCAAATATAGCATTTATAAGTAGATTATACATATAACTAAGTATGATCTCTTATATAAGAAAACTCTTAGAAGTTTTTATATTTATAATAATTTAAATAAAATTACTATTTAAAAACAAAAACTTTAATATAAAAAAAATATTAACTAAAAAATTAATAAAATAAAAAAAAGTCAATAAAAAAAAACAAATTATTTTTAATAAAATTTTTTTAATTTTTTTTTTTGTATTAAAGTAACTACTTTAGTTTTTTGACTTTTTATTAATAACTTTTTTAATAATATAATTCAACAAACTATTACAAAAGAGCATACCATTAGCTATACATATAATGTTTCTATATTACCTATTTAAAAAGTTTAACCTAATATTGCTATAGCAGAACCAACACATGTAGTTGGAGCTTAATTATTAAACTACTATGCTCTTGTAGAGTTTACACAGATCTTAGCATTTACTTCACAGTATAACCTCAATATTTTAGTATATCTCTGCCTTTTCATCTGCCTTTTAATCTGATTTTTAATTCAAATAGCTTATATAGGATTATAACAAGTCCATTAATATATCAGGTTAGCCTAATATTCTTTTTTTTTAGTTCATTCTGGCAGTCTAATTGGTAGTACCTTTAAGCCTTCTCTAACCTAAAGGTTTTTGCCTATCTGAGTACTACAACTAGGTATTATAACTTTGGTATCTATTTTTTAAAGCTAGTCTTTACAGTAGCAATATCAAAAATCTAGCTACCTCTCTACTTAGATCATTTTAAATAAACTTCTTGTTACCTAATTTTAATAGATTTACATGGTTACAAAAACTTATCTAGTATTTGTACTATCTGATTGTTGGTTTACATTTCTTTGTATAACTTATACAGATGTCCCATAACTTGCAAGTCATACTAGTATGACTACTATTATAGAAAATTGGTC